AATGTTGTCAGTCACCTTCATGTGCTTTTTTCATGAGCTAGGCTATTTTATGAATTGAACTTTTATTCCATTAAGATGACTTACTTGATGAACCAACTTTGCGGCAACTTGTGATCTGTTCTTACAATCTGCTTCTACGGTAGCACTTCCGCGAAACTTGTTTGCTATGACCAACAAAATGTTAGAAAAAAAATAAATTGACCTCTTTTTGAAAAAATTTTCACAACTTCAATGAAAATTTCCCAAAAAGGAAAGAACACATATCAAAGTCTTGAAGAGGCGATCATTTCAGCAGATAATGTACAGGTTAAAGTTATCAAAATCTTCTCAGTTTTGCATGTCACGTGTGGCTTGGTAGTAAACACAAATGCATACGCGATTAGCGAGGGGTGTCAGGAATTTTTTAAAGCCCAAAGACGAAAATCATAGTCCATTTCACATCATTCAAAAAACATGAATTAACCACCGACACATCTATCTCCAAAACTTCATCCCCAAAAGAAGCGCCTTTCTAGAACCACTGAGAGTAAAAACACTTCATGCGCTGAACTGAAATCCCATTACCTGACGCGAGTAACTGAAACACAATTTTCATGTATTAATGATATCGCTTATCTTAACATTCATGTTACCTCCTTCCCTAGCCCGTTATCGATTTTTTCAGGCCTCCATTCGGACGACAAACAGTTTTATCTCGCTTTCATTCATTCGTAACAAAAAAGGTAGTTTTTGTTTCAATGAAGTAATACCATGGCAGTTTTGAAGTAAAAAAACTAAACATTTTACCAGAGGGCGCTTCTGAGCATAAATTGAAGGCTGTACTTGGCTCTGTTGTTGGTGGTGGGGATGTTTTTTGTACTGTACTTGGCTCTGTTGTTGGTGGTGGGGATGTTTTTTGTACTGTGGTATGAAAAGAAATACGTTGTCACCATTTCAGCTTAATTCCTTCAACCGGCACAGTACACAAACCACTTCAAGTATTAGATACACGTACGATCCTTGCGTCTACTTTCATTTGATATGGTCATGCTGTATTCTTCTAAAATCAACAACCACTGCATTTCCGTTTTAGCGGAAAAACTACTATTAATGTCTTTTTCTTAATGAAACTTGAGTATGAAGACAATGAGGTGTTTATCACTTTAATCATAAAACTATAATAGTAATTGTAAAAATCCTCCTCTCCTGTTCGTGGACAATGCTTTTTCTCTGAATGGAAGTTAATTTATTCATACCGGTATCGTTCTCACTCTCAGTAAGTCCTTTAATTGTGCTTAATTAATTCCTGAAGTTAAGTATTTGTTATTATTTTCATACAAGAACAAATACATCTCATCTGTGAATATCCCCATGTAAAATTAAACCTTTCTGGTTTAAAAATCTGCACCTTCCCCTCATAAATAGTCACTTCTCTACCCTATGAGAAAATCATACACTTTTGCGGTTTAAATAATACGACAAAGGTTGTTAGCAATGGAGCAGTGAGGCAATGGCGCGATGGTGTGGGATGCCTGAATCAGCGTCATAATTCAAATTGCTAGTTCATATTTATCATAATACATTGTAAACCCATAAAGCTTACCGACACGTAAGAAAAATGTTGCAGATACATTCTCTATGCCGTTTGTAGCAAAACAGGTATACCATCCTTCGTCACTTGAGGCAGCATTTTGGAACTCCAGCGTTGAGCTGTTGGTCGTTTTATCGCCGCTGGTGTCATTTCCTTTGTACCACGTGATATCAGCTGAGGGGTTTCCATTGTCTTGAAGGCAAGAAATGTTCACGTGTTCTCCTTCTGAAACAGTTCTTCTCGTTAAGGAGTTGGCCAATGGTTTATCTAAACACAAAAAGGTTACATAGAGAGTTACACATGCAGTGAGGAGGTGCGCTAAGTGTAGCGAACCTTGATGTCAGTAACAAGCGGGATGGTTTGTTTTTGGTAACCACACATGCGTGAACTCAGCATTTCTGTGTTATAATTTGGATATATCAACAAAGTTGAAATGGTAAATTGGCCACCGTAATGATTACAAAAGCTGACGTTTCGAGCGTTAGCCCTTCGTCGGAGCGAATAGAGGAATTGTGGGTTGTGTGTGCTTTTAAAGGGAGAAAATGGAGCTACGTTATTGGTGGGTGCATGGCAACGAGAAAAACATGAATAAATTAGTGGAATGAAAAGCGTTCATTGATCCCTGTGGGATTTAGACTGCCGGTTTGAAAGATGAGCTTTTGTTCAAGATTTTTACGGCTTTCCGTGCCACCTAAGTGCAAGGAAAGACCGCAGATTGCCATATGTTGCTTAGAATGATT